CTGTGTAAATACGTAAGGATATTTGGTTAAACAGTTTAGTGTGTGCAACATATACATACGGTTACAGTATTGCAGATACCATAATAAATACTTACTGCTATGAATTATTTTGAAGAAATTTTTACTTTCATTATATTTAAATGTAAAATGTAAAAATTTTTATAGTTTTTACAATCAAAAAGTTGTTGAAATGAAAATTAAAAATTCTATTTATATTATATGTTATGTATCTATATGGATGTAAATAAATATAAAAATATATGAATATTTTACTATATGAAGCTTAATGAAATATCTTACAATAAATATTAACACTATATATATATATTTGTTATTTTAATTTAATTTAATTTTCTACATTTGCTGCAAATTTTATTTTCTAACAAACTAACAAACTAACGAATACGAATGTTGAAATTAAATCATTGCAAATCCCCAGGCATGTTCTGCCGCCTGTCTGCCTTCCGTAGTAGCACATTTAAAATGCAATAACTGGATTAGATTGTTACCATTATTGTTGTACTTTGTTGTTGTTTTTATTGTACTTATGTACTTTCGTATTTATAGAGTTTTAACACAATTGCACCAATTCCAGTTGACATTGTCCGTTATGCATTCCAACAGTAAGACTTGTTCAGGTGCATCAATGTTTTGTTACCCTCATCCTGACTTCATTAAAAATTCAAATGCTATATGGTTCATCGCATGTTGCAGGTACGTCCAATTTATGGCGCTTACGAAACACATTCTTCCTAATATATTCTAGAGAGGTGTATGGTTTCGATTAGCGTTCTTTTGAATTTTTATTAAGGTTTTGATATTTCTGTAAATAAAATTAGTTAAAATAATGAAAACGTACAAATGGAAACTTGTAGAACTGTGGAGAAGTATAATATACCATATGACTAGGATTTTTTATTTTGTGGTTTTAAATTTAAAAAAATCTAAATAAATTTTTTTTTAAATAATTTTGTTTTTGACCAGGACTAATTGGTCAATTATAAAATAAAAAACTATTTGACAAAACTTTTAAACAAATTATATACGGACTATAAACTAATACTTGAAACAGCGTTGTACCTTCTGCTCAAAAAGTATCCGGATTTTGTTGTTTGTTAATTATTCCTTAAGTAATTGACCTTTTTCAAAATTTTTTTTTGTTATGTTGGTACACCCTTTCTTGACATATGGCACAAATTTGTTAGTTTGTTTACAGCAGTTATTAATGTTAATTTAAGACTACCTCAAATGCATTTAGCGATTTTTACTATGGAAAATTCTTGTTATACGCTATTTTTTGATCAAACACAGTAAAAGAGAATTCGCCGAAGGAACTAAAAGACATACCTTCACTGGTCTACGAAAAGTGTATGGAAGATTGGGTTGTGTTGGCATATGTGTATCGTTTCAGAAGGAGCATATTTTGAATTTGTGTGTTTTATTTACAAAATCCGAGTACTTTTTGAGCAGAAGGTATGGTCAGCCATCTTTTAATAAATTAACTAAACAATTTTTTCTATTCGATTCCTTCTAAGTTATTATCTACATTAAAATTGATTTTAACGTCAGTTATAATGATCGCAACCATATTATTTAACAAAAACGATTGTATTTAATAAAGCGGTTTCGAATAGTAGTGAATAGTAATTCGAATTAATTAAGTTTATGATCTACCATATAGCTGTCTTAAAATTATTTCTTGTTTTTAACTTAATTAATTTTTGAGATTTCAAGTACGAATGATTGAAGTCAATCTTTGCCAAATTTGAAGCTCAGATTGATTAATTTTTATTTAATATTGAATGATAAGCAACCTACCCCAGTCCCAGCTTGTGCACAACTGCAACACGTGAAGTAATCTGGAATCACAATATAATATTTTTATAATAAATAGATAAATATGTATCAATAAAATAATAATATAACATATCATTTTTGTTTATTCGCGTAAATTTATTTAAATAAATAAATAGTAATTTATTTATAAATTATTTATTATTATATTTATAAAATTAATAAGAAAAAAATATATATATTGTGGGCGGATTCGAATAGCAAAGAAAGGACAAAGACAAAAATTTTTTATTTTTAATTTATTGAAATTTGGCTGACCATACAATGCTATTTCGAGTATTGCCAAGTACTCTTCATCAGTGGTCTATGGAAATAATCGAATTTTATTTAATTAGTTTATAGTCCGTATATAATTTGTTTGGACTGCAAGTGCCAGGCTTAGAACTCGTGCCTGTCGAATTAGAAGCGATGACTAATCGTGTTTATCCACAAATAGCAAAGGCTGCACAAACTTTCAATGCTCAAATTCCAGGTTTTGTCACTTATTATTATTTAATTAGTGACACCAACCAAAGCACTTGCCGTGCCTTTAAATTAGAACGAGCTATTAAACTAAGCTTTATTGGAAACACAAGTTCAACGAATTGAAAGTTAATCTTTGAGCTTGCCTATTTTTGTTTCAAAGCTATTCTTTTTGTAGAGACATCTGTTGTGCATATTTTTTTAACTTACTATATGTAAAGCGCCTTTTTTGGGTGCAATTTTACAAAGAAGCTATATTGTGATTTTATAGTGCAACGGCGGTCTTAAGCCAACGCACTGAAGATCATTATATATATATTCAATACATACAAAACACATTTTTTGCTAATCCCTTTTTCCAACAGTCGCGTATTAAACACAGAAAGGTTCAAAAGACAACCGGCATCATCAACTAATCCCAAAAACAACAAATGCATCATCAACGATTACAAGACAAATGATGTGAATTTCAAAGGACCAACTGGCATCATCAGCATGGTCATCAAGTTATATATCTAGTTATAATTATAATTATAATTATCTTATTTAAAATAAATAATTTTTTTTTAAATACTTTTGTTAATTGCGAAAAATAATATAATTGTTAATAAACTATCTGTTTTTTTTAAATTGAACATAACATCTTTCTTTTGAGAAGTCCTGTCCTCGCGAATAGAAATTTATTGTAGCGACTCTGAATAGCGGCTGAAGATACCCCAGCAAAAATTATAGCTATCCGAAAAATCTGTTTCGCTACAAGTGTTCATTAGTTAACTTATCCAAAGCCGTACATTTACTGTGAAAGTTCATTAACAAATACACTTGCTGTGTTAAATTAAAACGAAATTATAAAGCACTTGTAGAATAACTGAATTAATTAAATATAATTATTTTTAATTGTTAAATTCTAATACTATTCGTTTGTTATGTATATACAAATATTGTTACAAATATCGTCAATGTTTCAAATTTTAATAGAGTTCCTGCCCATGGCGAATTTTTATTAGCATTGATTGTGGAAACGAGTAATAGGGATATTTATACTGCAATCGGTGACCAAATTTAGTTATAAATAATAAACAATAAAATAAACAGTATACAACATTTAAACAACATACAATAACAATCTTTATTGTATGATATTTTGTCTCTTTCAAATAAAACAAAATACTATTTTCAATTTAAAAATTGTTTTCTTTAATAATAAAATCTTGCATAATGTTATTAATATTTCAACTATTAAGACTTATTTAATTATTATTCCTAATAAAAAAATACCATTTTAAATTTGAAAATTATATTTTCTATAACACTAAATACATTCCACTTAATAAACGTTTCTGTAATTATTTTTCTTACAAAAAAAAAATTTTCTTCTTTTTCTTTCCTAAAATAATAGAAAACTAATAAATTAAATTTTAAATTTAACAACAATGTTTTATGTAATATTAAATATGTTACAATTGTTAAAATCTTTTGAATTATTTGCAATATTTTTCTGAAATTTTACATTATGTATTATAGGTAAATCAAACATGATTGATTGATTAATTGAATTCTATCAGATTTATTTTCTTTTACAACTAAAACAATAAAAACTCATATAGAAGGAATCCCAACGTCAATCACTACCATACAATCAATTAAAATAAAGTGCAATCCCAATCCGGCTTGTTGAAGGTATTCAACATGATAATAAAAAAATTCAAATTTTTATGATTAATTTGTTTCAAATCTAAAAAATTATCAAAATCCCTTGATAGGAGTATCAATCAAAGCTGTTGTTTAACGGCACCTGTGGCTCTGCTTTCAACCACAATTTCATACACGTAAATTCTTTAGAAATACAAATTTTTTTAATTTATGCGTTAAATGATAAGTTAAAAATATAATATCTCTTGTTTGCTTTTATCAACATTATAGGAAAAATGCTGCGGAGAGAAAAAGAAATATTTTCTTTTTTATATATAAGTTTCTTAATTTAATCAATTTAAGATTTATCCTAAATAGACTCAACGACATATCGAAACTCTTCACGTAAGTACCCTAAACATTACTTAGCTGGTTTATTGTAGTACTAAAAAGTACTATCTGAGAAATGAGTAAAACTAGAAAAATGTTATCAATTAATGTGTACCTAATATATTTAAATATTAAATAATATAATACATAAGTTTCAAACTCAAAATTTGGTGAGAAGTCAGTTCGATCTGTAGAGCACGATACTTGTGATAAAATCTTGAAAGCATATCTATCATTATAAATATGTATTATAAATATTTTTGGGTGACCCGATAGGTCAAAATGTCATGGTAAAACATAACACACTTGTCTTTTGACCTAGCAAATAATAATTTATTTCAATTTTTTCTAATAATTAATTATAACTATTCAAAGGGATATTTGTAAGCTTCAAAAAATTTAGAATGTCCAATATACATAAGTAGGCGAATTCATCCGTAAACGGGACTATTAACAAAAGTTTTTGCCTAAGCTGTGTGTAGAGAAATAATCATATCAGGTAATCATTTATTCGTATAGTTCGTTACATTTACAGCCCAGTTTAGTCCTAGACTTTACATTTAAAAGCAAAAAGTCGTTTAGTATTTTGAAGGAAAACATTTTAATAATAAATATATTGTTACATTCAAAATTTTAAATAATTTTGTAAATATTTTGTAGGTATAAATATCCTCCGTCGTATGACCCTTTTTCTAAACCTTTGAAATCTGTGAATAAACCGATTCTGGGAGAGTTTCGTTTTTGGGTACGTTTCATGATGTTATTTCATTATTAGGTTTCTTCTTAATTTCACACCTGGCAGTCTGCTTAAATTGGATCATACGTGAGTGTTGAAGTTACACTAAATTTTAATTAACAATAAAAGTATAAATACAATTATCTTCATTCAATTTTGTTTACAATCATATTACAAACTCCTGATACTTTGAAAATATGAAATCATTTTCATGAAATGTAGAGATGAAAATACTGATTTCAAAATGTCAGCAATCGAAATCTGGCTTTATATATAAAACTTTATTATTCAACATTCTCTCTTTAAATATATTTGGATTAATAAAATCAACTTATATATAAAAAAACAAATATTCCTCAATATCATTTACAAAAATAATTCAGCCAAATCTTTTTAATGTTCTGATTTTTTGCAGATAGTTTATATTGCTAACTTTTGGTCAATTATGAATCTAAAACAATCAATAACGAAAAGTTGCATGTCCTGTACAGCTCGGAAAGGAAAAACGAAACAAAAAAAATGTATTTTTTCTGACATTATAAAAAATTAATAATGTATATACCACTATAAACTATTGTTATATTGTCGTATTCGGATAGTTAAATACTAATACATACAGTGTAATGTTAATAATATTTTTCTGCATAATAAAATAAATGTAATTAGTGTTTGCCTTATAATTATGACTCATATTTATATGATATAAAAAGAAACTAAAATCTTTTTTATGAATTTATGTACTCATTGCTATTTATTTCATTCTCTTCTAATTAAAGGTATCCACTTTTATTATACCACTGTAGCTTTAATATGACCATAAGCTAGCTTTATCTCTTCAATTGCATAAAAACTTTAACATTTGAAAGTCTATTTAAATTGCAGAAACAGAAAAACTTGACAGAGTGATAGATGACCTCATCGGTCATATCAGATTGTCATTTACTTAAAGTAGGGGTTTTAAACATCTCTTAACAAATATATTTATGATAACATCAAAGATAGACAGCACGTTATTTCTCTTGTAACTAACTAGTTGAACTGTTAAGAAAAATTGTTATGTATACACTTCTATAATATTTGTAATAGTTGGTGGGTTGGTTACAGTGGAAGGTCTTAGATAAATTCCATGTTCCTTAATTAGCGATTTTTTGTCAACACATTTCTTGCAAGAACCCTAGTATAGAAGAGTTAAGACTAAATACGTCCCGCTGAAATCACTTAATTTAATAGGTCTTTCGTCTTCACCGATGAACAGTCTGATAAAGAGGTATCTTCCTAAGAACCTATATCAACTGGACGCCAAAGACGGCCATTCGTAGAGAAAATGTATTATGGTTTTTAATATTTGTAATACAAGACAGAACAAATAGTTGATCAATGTTAAGTCATTAAAATTTCTAAACCGATTTGAGCTCAAAGATAGATCAAGTCTCAAATTAATCGATATTAATTGACTTAAAACAATAATGCGATATAGAATATTTCCATAAACTGCACTCGCAATAAGGTAACAACTATTTTATACATTAATTACTACTAACTAAATACTTAAAAAAGCACTGTAAATTATTACAGAAAATAAAAAAAATGGGGTCAAAATTTAATATTACATATTGTTGTATTGTTTTCTTGTTGTTTTCTTGTTTTTATTATCATTAATTAAATTGTTTTTATTTGAATTCATTTACACTAGTAAAGTGACTATGTGAATTTTGTTTGTAGTTTTTCTTACATTTCTAGGTTCCAAAGTATATTGTATACTTGTAAACTTCATTAAAGAAAATTATTCACGTCCGAAGTGCCGTTATGTACAAAAAGTGAAATTAATTAAGTGTAGCATTATGGCTTGCAAGATCAATTGTAACAACAATATTATTGTTACATTATAAAATAATAATAATAACTAAACAATTAAAAATTATAACTACTTTTAACAAGAACTTAAACTTAAAGAACTTAAAATAGTGATATACAGGGTACGAAGCAAACAATACCTATTAAGCGTTGTGCAAACAGAAGCAGTACGATTACTAGAGACAGATACGTAGTAATCAACGGATTAACGGCGGTAATAGATCCACTTACGAGCTATTGTATTATATTCTAAATATGAGAAAGTATTTCGAAAACATGATAAACGCAGCCAACATGTCCTTAATATTCCTAGCAAGACCCGAATTAACATTATCAAGAACAACAGTAACTGCAAACTGTGTAATATGAGAAAAAAAGAAGCTATTATCAATTTCATGGTTCAAAAAGATTCATATGAATAGTAAAATTTCTAATAAATACAAAGTAGCTGAGACAGTGTTCTGCATTTTTTTTCAACTGCATAGATGTCTGTACATTATCAAAAGCAAGTGTTTTCGTTCGACCGATATGGGACATCTTGTAGGCACTCAACAACACTATCTATAGTATTGATGTGTTTAAGAAAGGTCGTCTACGTAAATGAAAAGAGATTTTGTACGTCACATTTCTGGGGTTTCTTCATCAATAGTGACGGAGCCATTATGCATTATATATGAAGTAGGCATGAGAAATTTATTCTCTAACATTTTCATCAGTTGGTCCATTGATATTTAAGTCCAAATATTCGAGTTCAGAATTTTGAATTGCTGCAGCTAACCTGAATTACCCTGCATTACCTGAATTATTTAAAATTAAATATTAATGAATTGCCATATGATTTGTAATATAACAGCCTCGTAATTATTGAATTAATCTTATTCTATAAAGTTATTAAATAATGATTAGATTTTTGCACTGAAGCAATTCCTGAGTACATAAATAGTTAAAAGCAATTTCATCAATTTTAGTTTTCTAGAACATTTACGGTTGTTACTTGATCGCAAAAATGATTTTACTGACGCTCGTTATAATTTTGCTCTCAATGGCAGTTTTTATACATTTCTACAACAGGAGAAGATATTTACTAATGCGCAATGTTCCAAGTTTAGATATATATCCGATATTCGGCACGGTTTCAATATTTTTCAGGTTCAGTCAAATGGGTGTGTGAATTACTAAATTTTTGTTAATGGTCATATCATAGATAATAATCAAAATTACTGTAGATATTTTGACTGCCGTTCGAAGATACTATGTAAATTCTGGAAAAGTTGTACACGGTTGGGTTTTTCATCGACTTTTTGTTATATGCAAAGATGTGGAGATGATCGAACAAGTTTTATCCAGCAATCAGACCATAACTAAACTGCAAATTTATGACTTTTTGAAAGATTGGCTCGGCGTTGGTTTACTTCTTAGCGATGGTAGAAAATGGTTTGCACGGCGTAAAATTATCACTCCAGCATTTCATTTTAAGATTTTGGAGGAATTTGTAAAAGTTTTCGATCAACAAAGTACTATACTTTTAGACCGTTTGGCAACTAAAGCTGATGGTGTGAAGAGTTTCAATATTCAACCATTTATATGTGCAGCATCTCTAGATATTTTTGCAGGTAATAAGAAAAAAATATCATTATAAAATATAATATCCTTCCCCATATTTTAGAAAGTGCGTTAGGTACAAAAATATATGCACAAACGGATAAATGCGTTGAATATGCAAATGCTGTCAAAGAGTAAAGAAGCCAAGCATTTTTATCAAAAATAATTTAATAAGATTTGGTTTTAAAATTACAGGATTACTGATTTAATAGCTTGGCGTTCGTTAAAACTGCCATATCAGAGTGAATTGATATTTTCGTTGTGTTGTCCACATTTAAAGCTAAGACAAATAAAATTAACAAGACTTTTAAAAAACTTTTCTACACAAATAATTGAAAAACGTCGTCATGAATTGGAAATAGACTTGTCTCAATCCACTGAAGAAAAATCAAACGAAGACGATGAGATGATTGGTACCAAAAAGCGAAAAGCTCTCTTGGACTTGTTACTTCAATCCAATGTTGATGGAATTCCATTAACGAATGAGGATATTCGTGAGGAAATCGATACATTTACGTTTGAGGGACATGACACAACAACATCGGCAATTTGTTTCGCATTATTCGAAATATCTCGACACCCACGAGTGCAGGAAAAAATTTTGACAGAAGTTAATGAAGTTATAAATTTTAGTAGTAGCAATTCTATTAAAATCCAAGATCTTAACAAATTAAAGTATACTGAATATGTTATTAAGGAGACACTACGTTTATATCCATCAGTACCGATAATTGCGAGGAAAATAAATGCAGACTTTAAATATAGTAAGTAAATAAAATAAAATTTATATATCTTACTTTGAATTTTCATTAAAATATAAAATAATATGAAAATATTTCAGCTCATTCAAAGATTGGCGATGGTGTATTACCAGCGACTACAGAGTTTGTCGCTGACTTTTTTAATACAATGCGTGATCCGGATATTTATGAGAATCCAGAAGAATTTATACCTGAACGATTTGAGAACATGAAAATGGAATCTGCATTTGTTTATTTGCCTTTTAGTGCTGGACCCAGAAACTGTATTGGACAAAAGTTCGCAATGTTGGAAATGAAAATGATTTTGGCAAAAGTTGTATCAACTTTTGAGTTACTACCAAGTAAGGAAAGTATCCAAATTGAATATGCATTCATACTTCGTTCATATAATGGTTTTCCAGTAATCATGAAAAAAAGAAAAGTCTAATAATATAATTTAATTGTGTTTAGGAATTAAGAATTTAAAATTAATGCTAAAATCAAATCAACAAAAAACTGTTTTATTTTATTTAAGTTTGTATAAAAACAAGTTGTTTAGAAACATAATATTTATTAAACCACAAGACATCAAGCATATACGCGATTATTGGTATGGTGATCGGTGAAATGGAGTAGGTAGAGCAAGTTTTTAGAAAAATTATAAATAAGTAAGGAGCATGTTAGTATTAATATCAAAGCCGTATCCTTTTGGGCTCAAAATCTTATAGAGATATAGTTGGTTAAATAATAAAAGAAATAATAGTAACACCAAAAATAAGAACAAATTTTATAGAACGGAAGTTTCTGACAAAAACTGCAAAACCAGCAATATTGGAAGTAGAGTACATATAGAAGAAAGCCAATATATCTGATAGTCTGAATGTTTGGAAACCTTGCAAAAACTCAAATAAATATTTAAATTGACTAATCTTGAATGTTTAGTCGGTCTTTATATTATTTTGAGATAATGCTTAATTATTTAAGTATATAGATTTTCAAAAAATAATTATTTTTCATAGTGAATTTTTTCTCTTAGACTAGAATAAAGACTGACAGCCATAAAGATTATGATTAGATGACTTATCGTGTATTTGATGGAGACGTCATTCTTTCCATTCAAATAATCATATATTGAAGAGCTGGTAATATATGTTTAGATGACACAGAATCGTCAGCAATATTAACGCTGTCCTATGAGGAGTATTGTCTCTTCTAATAAAAATAACACTAGTTTACAGCCAAAAATTTCCAAAGACGAGACTTATATTTCCTATAGGGAAATTTTTCGTAGAACTCGAAAATCATAACGATTTTTTTTCCTATGTTCCGTTTTCGAGATATCTTCAAAAAACCGTTATTTTGACTTTTCTCAAAACATCACCCTGCATATTCCCTCATAGCTTTTTTTCTGAAGTTATCTCGGTAGTGTATTATATATCAAAAGATGAAACTTGTACCAATATTTTGAGTTACACAACGTTAATGTAACTTACTTAGTTTCGCTGCTATAGCTAGAAATGTACAGATGAAAAATGTTTTTTTTACGCTTTTTTCAACTTTTTCGATTTTCAAGGTGATGGGACTGCCACAAATATATTAAAAAAAAATTTTTTTTAATTAATGTTAAAGACTGTTTTAGTATAAACATTTTGAGTGGATTAAGATAAAAATCGAATAAAAATTTCAGAAGTTATTCGCCATTTGCCAAATTTGCCCAAAATAGTAGTTTTTATTAACAAGTCAGAAAATTCATTTTTTCGAATTTATTTTGTAAAATTTAGAGTGCAAATCAAAACTGTATTATGCAAAATTGCACAAATTTTATTTAAAAAATTAAAATTA